ATCCTGAAATTCAATTGGTTTGCGCCACGATAAAGTCATGTGACTGGGAAATTTTTTGTGGTATAATTACATAGGTTAATGATCATGGAAAATCACGGGTAGATCTACAAAAAGTTGGCCAATCGTATGAACGTTTATAATAAAATTTTGATTGGCTAGTTTATATCAAATTGATTATGATTAGTGATCGGCGCTAATTACAGAATTATTACTATGATTGTATAAATCAGGATTGATAACCAAAACTTGGATTTTAACAATTAATAACAATTCTCAGACGATTTTTTCTTAAAAATAAAAAAATGCGTAGGGAATATTATTATGTCATTGCTTTCGTTTTCATTGTTGGATACTTTCTTCTTCCGACCAATAGATGCCCACGAAAGGTATTATATGACAGTAACAAACCCAAAGTTCCAGTTCAACTATTTGTTATGAGTCGTTGTCCTGACGCAGTCGCATGCGAGTCTGTTTTCGGAGAGGTTTGTATGTAAATGTAATTAATTCTTTACGATATTGAATAAATGTTATTTTTATTTATTCATTGAAATTTATAGTGAAACAAACGAATGATATCACCACAATCACCACAAATTATGTCGCAACGCTTAATGATTCCGCAACTTATGGAGCTTCTTGCAAGCATGGAGATATTGAATGCATTGGTAATCATACCTTGATCTTTCTAAGTATCTATCTCATAACTAACGAGTAATACAAATCTTTCAATAAAAGGCAATATACAACAGCTCTGTTTTCGTTACATTTATCCTGATCAAACAACATTTTTCAACTTTCTCTCGTGTATTGACCGTTACATCCCTAAAATTGGTTTTCGTGATTGGGCAATACAATGTTCCAAAGATGTAGGTGTGGACTATACACCTGTAGATAAATGCGCAACCTCTAATTATGGAAGAAATCTTTTTCTTAAAAGCGCCGGCATAACTGAATCGTATGGCGTTACTAAAAGTTGTACGATTTACATTAACGGCAAATTGAGATGTATCAAAGATGATACTTGGTATGATTGTCCCGGAGGCCACGAGGTCAATGATTTTGTGCGATCCATTCAAGACGCGTACGAAGGCACTGAATAGAATTTCTTCATATTAATGCCTTTTTCATATGACTTGTTATATATTAATATATATAGTCAATATGAAAAGTATTAAATTTTTTATTATACAGCATCAAATAACCAAATTTTAAACAATTTTATTGACAGTAAAAAATTAAGCACATAAGTATGTACTAGAGGCTGATGTTATCGTAGGACAAAATTCGTTAAGTAAAAAAAATTGCATTTAATGACAATTCGCTTAATAATTTAATAAAAACGTTTAAAGCTTAAACATTTATTATAAAACGTGGTTTTGCACCTATCACATGTTTTATTATGTTTTTTTTTATATTTTCTAAGTTTGTTTGGATTAGGGTTTGGAAAAGGGCGTAGGGCATTTTACTTAGGACATCCTGCATTGATTAATTAGCCAGTTTTTAAGATAATATATACATAGGTCTAAAACGCTATAGGTGCGTTTTAAGCTCAATATATATTATACCACCCTTTTGGGAGTTAATTTAGGAAAAGAGAAAAAGGATAAGCATTTTCTATTCTTGATTAGTGCAGAATTAAACTATGCTCTAAACTTGAAAAGTTGGATTCTTACAAACATAAGAAAAGAAATCAAAAATGCTCTACGTATATAATTATTTGGTAGCTGAAGCTAAAGTCGACTAAATCTTGATATATATATTTTATTAATATAAAATTTTAAAATTTTTTATTGGTTTTTTTTTTTTAATTAGAATAGAATTTAGGATTAGTATTTTTAATAAAAAAGTATATATAAGAGAATTGTTAACGCCACCCCCCATTTTTGTTAATGCCACCCCCAAATATCAAAATGTGCTCCGGAAGAGGTATTCGTATTATGTAAATCTATTTTGATCTTAATAAAAGTTGTTCATCAGGCCTTTCCGGTTCTAATGGTAGTAAAATCATTAAAATCTGACCGGTAGTTCCTAAGATATATATGTCCAAAGTTAGTTAACTTTTATTTACTTTAAAGCAAAAACTACTGTCCCGATTTTAATGATTTTACTACTATTAGAACCGGAAAGGCCTGATGAACAACTTTATTAAGCTCAAAATAAGATAAAAATGTCTCTTCCGGAGCACTTTTTGAATTTTGGGGGGTGGTATTAACAATTCTCTATATATATATAGTATATATTATAAATGGCTTTCACTATTACTAAAACGCATTTATGGTGTATTATACCTATGCTTACATTATTTACTGTAAAATTAAAAATATTACTTGTAAATAGGCTAAGCTTAATATAAAAAAAAAAACATTACAATATATATATATTGTATATACTATATATATATTTAATATTGTATACAGTAATAATGAAAGGTTTAATCAATTTTTAAATTAAATACAGGTTTACTAAAGAATATTAATAGTAGTTTAATATTATGATTACTTTAATTTGGTAATTTAAATAAAAATAAAATTTTCAAAAACTATTAGATTTTTAATACTAATTTTTATTTTAAACACTCTAAATTTTAATATTAACCATTTTTTAGTATTGCTTTTAAAAAAAAATATACTAAGTTATTAATTTCGCCTTTATTTTATATAGTAATATATAGTAATATATGAAATTTGAAACAAAAAAAAAATATTTATAGGTTAAAATAGAGATTGTATAAAATTTTTGAAAGTTTTAAATATTTATTCTTAGTACTGTATTATACTGTATAATTTTTACTCTGGTATAAATAGGGGTGAGTCAATAGAAATCAAGCAAATTTTTTATAATAAAAATTTTATATCTTTTTTTTTTTTTTTTTTTTTGAATTCAGCAATCTTGCCTAAACTTTATTAGGCTAAAATATTTAACTCACAAGTAAAATATCATTTTTGCTAAATTAAACTAAAGTACCACCTAAGTTACAAGTTTTGGCTAACCCGGTTCATTGCAATACCAAAGTGCCCAAATCACTCATGTTTGATCTGCTATAGTAAAGTTTATCTCAATATCAAAAAACCCTGCACGTGAATTCTCTAATATATCACCGAATAGTATTTACGGCCTATCAAGACTGCTATCTTTTCTAAACCTTCTTCCCCTAGCTTCGCGAGCAAAAGGATTCATAGTCTCTAACTGACTTATGAAAAAAAAAAACACTAACACTAAAGATAAAGAGAACAATATGAAAGAAGGAAAGAAAAAAAACTGCCTAAGCAACAAAAAAATGAACAAAAAGAAAAAAATGAAACAAGAAGAAAAAGACAAATCTATGAAAACACTATTATAGCCCATGCTAGGTACAGTTGTAAAAATTATATACTAAATTTAAAAATTTTGTATATCTCTATTGTAAAGCTTCGCCTTATTGTTAGGTCTCTTCTGACTTTACTATCCGGTCTGGGTCGGTTTGTTAACCAGAGTGCCGATTGGTTTGTCACGTGGTGTAGGTACATTATTGTCAAAACAATCCTGTGTTTATGTTCTACTTTGTCCGTCCGAAAATAGAAAGTGTAAACAATGCCGATCTTTTGGAGGGAGTAAGCTGGATTGCCTACTTTTTGTTGAAAATTTTGGTGAGGTCGGCAAGAGGTGGTAGAGGTGAAAAAAACTACTTGTTCCAAACTAAAAAAGTGTGTATACTTTTCTTGCAAAGTATATCAATGACTTGTTGATTGAGCAAAGGGTGGGTATTTAAAGAACATTAAAAAGTGAGTAATAAACTCTAAGCTTGTCAGCAAGTAGCGTATGAGAACTACTTCTAAACAACAAGTGCTTCTGTTATAACAATGAGTAATAAACTCTGAGCCTGTTAGCAAGTAGCGTATAAGAACTACCTCTAAATAACAGGTGCTATAGTTCCTTGACTTATTTTACTTAATACTTTTTCAACTAGTTTTAATATATTTATTAAAAAAAGTTTTTAGAAAAAATTTAGAAAAAATGATTGTCAAATAAAAATTTTATATCTTTAAACAATAATAACCTTGATTAAATTTAATAAAATTTTTTAAAATAATTTTTACAAACTTGTAAAATTAATTTAAAAAAATTTTTTATTAAATTTGAATAAGTTTTTGTTAAAAAAAAAATTTGCTTGGTTTTTATTAACTCAACTCCAAATACTTCTGGCATAAATAAAGCTATACAAAGTTAATTTTTTGTTTCTTATACTGTAACATAAAATTTTAAAAATAGCCTGGCTTTTTTTTTTTTTTTTACCATTTTGGCAGTCTTGCTATATACTTTATTAGGCTATTATAACTTTTTATATTATACAATATAAATTTATATGACTTTTACAAAAGGCTAACCCTTTTGATATCTACTTTACAAGTACTGGCTCACCTGGTTATCTCTTGGACACCTATGTGTAACCTGCTATAAGCAAGATTTATCTCCAAAATACCTTTTCCTAAAACAAAAGAAATATGATATCACTGGATAGATCCTACTAGCCCATCAAGACTACCTTCCCTTCTTTCAAACTTCTTTCATCTAAGCCTGACAAAATAATTAAAACCCTTATTCATATATAAAAGTAAAAAAAAAAATAAAGCCATGTTTATAAAAGATCTAAACATTTTAAAAAAAAAACCGCCTCATGGTAGTAAAAAAAAAAACACAAACAAGAAAACAAATTCTAAAATAATCTAATATAAATGAACAAAGATGAAAGAAGCAAAAAAAGAAAAAGTAGCTTTGATATACTATTATAGCCCATACTAGGCATAAAGATAAAAATTATATACTAATTGCAACTAAAAGTATATCTCAATTGTAAAACCTTTGGCTTTATCAATTCAACTTATTCCAGACACTGACTCAACTCGGGTATTTTCTAAACAGAGGCATTAATCTCTTTTTTTTTTTTTTTTTTTTAATATTTGGGGTGTAGCTCCTGCTCCAGACTTTTATTAATACTTAAGTAAATTGACATATAATGGTGCTGTAAATACATACATATTACATATCAGAACTAGGACTAGGACATCAAGTACTAAGACTATTTATTCATGGCTAAAACCCACCAGAGCCTGTCAACAT